TGTAAGAAATGGAAAAAATTAGAACAAATACAAAGGAAAATTATACTGACAATAAGAAACTGCGAAGCAAACAGAAGATTGGGTGAAATCAAGCACTGGTAACTTGAGTTCCACACAATTTAACAGTATGACACAAAGTTATTTTGGTAAAGGAACCAGCTATAGTCTGAAGTCCTCACAAAATTGGCAAGGACTAATCTGATTTTCAAAATATGTTGGTGTGAAAGGCACGTGAAATAATCCAAATTGCCACCTGAGAAAGAGTCAGAAAATTCTAAAGAGCAGAGAGTCCACTGCCTCATAAGGCTGGACTTATGGCAGAAAAGGAACCCACGAGGCCAGTGATTACAACTGGGAAATCAGCAGCGAGTTTAAGGAGGAGCTCCGATACTGTCGTAGTACATGGAAACACGCTCACAGTTGGCAGAGAAGACTACGGAGGCCATTCTGCTGCTGTTCCACTTTGCAATCAGCCTCTGATGCCACCCAGACATGACCCTTGTTCACGAGCACGCTGTTTGTTGGGGGCTGAAGTAATTCAAATATAGCTCCTTGTCAGATTAGTACACTGGCCAGTTAATGCCCTGGCTGTAGCATCATTTCTGTCTTTACAAAGGCTTTCAAATCTAAGGTCACTGCAGAAAACATGCAACAGAACCAGTCTGCATCTTGTGTTAAGGCTTAGTCACCATCAGATCAACTTCTCCAGTAATTAAAGTAGAAATTGAAAACTGTCATTTCTTTTCTTCCATTAGCATGAGACTGTGTGGGTAATAAAGCCCAACAGGTCTTTGGTTTCTTTTGTTTTGTTTACATTTTTTCTTTTTTAAGAACTTATTAAAGCAATAAAAACTTATCTGTAGTCAAAGAATTACCAACCTTTTCTTTTTAAAAAAGTAAATCCTAAATAGTTGTAGCAAGATAAGAAGAGATTGTTTGGCGACAGAATGTGCTTGGAGAAACGCAAGATTACCACTGGCTAATTAAGGTATCAAATACTTGGCAACCTGTAGTTTAAGCCCGGCACACATGGCCGCTGGGTACAGGCTTCCCAGAAATTTATAATCCAGGAACTGAACATGCCTACTCCCCTCTTCCCTTTCCATATTTCCAGTGACATTACTGCTGTAGCAGCATCAGGTGGGAAGGCTGCTCTACATCCTGACCCCGTCATCTCATGATTTCTGAAGCAGTTACATTTTGTGACCAGTATATTATAGTCAAATGAATCACCAGTGAGGCCACATTTCACAATTAGTATTGTATACTTGGAACAACTTACTTTCAAGCTGCCCATTTTGAACTCCGATGTTAAGGAAAGCATTGAGTATACTAATATGGGGATTAATGTGATGGTAGAACCAAGTTTAAGTTCATAAGATTGTCCTAACAGAGCTCTAATTTAAAGCTCAACACTCTTCCATTAAAGTTTAGTGATGAGTGAGGATTTTAAGAGAACCCACCAATAGACAGGTCTTAAACAGTGTTTCAAATCATGGACTATCCAATTCCGGAAGCATTATACTTTCTATGTCCCACCTATAGACTTTTTATCCGTAACCACAGCTTTTACCATCATTCAGAATATGATGAATATTTCTTTTCTAGCCCTGTTTTTTTCTTCAACTTTAGATCCACATTTCTAACTTCCATACACATCACCACTTAGCTGTCTAATCCATACTTGACAATCCATGTGACTCCAGAGTCAATGACTCTCTTCTCCTTCCCCACCTTATAGTTTATTCCAGTGGTAAAACTGGTCACTGAAATCGTTCCCTTCTCTTCTCATTCCCTCTATCTAGTTATGACCACATGACCTCTTAAATATTGTTCATTCGTAGACTGAACATAGGCTTAACCTGAGACTCTTCTGTTATCATTTCAGAATTTCATTATGTAAAGGGCAAGCCGTAACCAGGAGAATTTTCAGTGTTTTCCACAAAGTGTGTATATCCACCTGGTTCATCCCTTGTAATTGAGCACCTAAAACATAGTAGGCACTTAATGCAAGCTGTTCAATCAATTCTCCATGGGTAAGACAGCAATCCAGTGGAAAAGCATAGCAACAATACCAAATCCTCTTCTCACTTCCATATAGCTCCTTAGAGTGACAGAGCCCTTTATAATACCATTTCCTCCCCAAGATACATATCAAAGGCATCTATTAGCTCTGCTTTACCAATGAAACCATGAAGACTGACAAGTTTAATGACCTGTATTTGCCACATGGCTAGTAAACAGTTGTGCATGACCATGTTAAGCGCAACATCTTTATTCTTTCCACTGTAGGTGAACTTTTGTCTTCAAGGTTGATGGTGGTTTGGTGCTGAAGATATTTTGACAAGTAGAACACTGGACCCAGTGACTTTTAATGGGGTTCCTTCTGATTCTGAGTCTTAGCCTGAGTGTGACTCTCAAGTAGACAGAGCTGGTCTCAGATCTCACCAGTGTCACCCTACTCTCTTTCCTGACACGGGCCCATACTGTAACATGCCAGCATCTGACAGACCACTGAATGTCTTAAGCTCGATCTGCCACCCAAGGGCCCTTTCAGCTCTTCTGTCTGGATTCAGATATCTTTTAAGTTCTCTCTGTGAAGTATTCTTGCCAAATATAGTAAAACTGAACCTAATCAAGTTTCCAAAGACAACTTCCTATTCAGAAAAGGTAAGAAGGAGAGGAGAACAAGTTAACTGACGTCACAAAGCAGCAGACAGATCAATTCAGAACATGAACGTGGGTGGCAGTTCAGTACCAAGAATCTGAGCGCTACATGTCCCTGGCAGGGGAGAAAGATTTATAGACAGTCAAACCAAATGAAAAGTCAAGACTTGGGAACCTAATTAACACAAACACACTATCTTGCCTTCCGAGGCAAACTAGATATTCTCTGAACTGATAACTGGCAATTCCAAAGAATTTTGTTCAACACCAACAGTATAATGTTTAAGTAATAAATGCGCACAGTTTTCTGATGTGTTCTACATATAGTGATGTAATGACTGACACCGTCAGAGATCTGTTTGAAAATACTTCAAACACAGGGAAGGAAAACATAGATGAAGCAAACACAACAGATCATGATAACGGATGAATCTGGGCAAGATGTATATGGGTTTCCCTATACTAGCCTCTTTACACTGAAATACATTCAAATTTTTTCAGAATAAAGTAAAAACTGTGTTTTGAATTATTTTTTCTTATTCTACAAAAGGAGAAATTATACTTTTGGAGTTTTAATTACTCAATTTGCTAAGGTGTGCTAGAATGCCTTCAAATGCTTGTTTAGATCCTGATTTGCAGAAGCCTGACACAGAATCGTGGCACTAGTTCAGATTTCTGGCAGGTCCAACAAGTGAGTGGCAATAAACGAGTTGCCGTATTTCGCACAGTTCCTGCTTTTCCTGCCTCTACCAAGAAACCCTGAGAGCTATTCTTAGCCATGGGATTGTGGTTAGGTTCACTGGCGACCCTAGCTGACTATAAGTAACCACAGCTCACTAATTCTGGACTTGCAGAGCTGGGGGAGCTATAGACATCTTCAGAGAGACACAATGCTAGAACCAGGAAGCATGGCCACTCAGTGCTGTATCTGCCTTCTACCTGTGCTTTTTCAGAATCCACATCTACCTACTCCTTTGTAGCAAATTGTTCCAATATACCAGCTCTTAAGAGTTGAACTATACTTGGATGCATGTCATAATTGTCAATTTATGTTAGAGAACATACATGCTGCTTATCAGCCACACCCCCAGCAACACTCCACCTTAGTGGAATCTCAATGATAACAAGATAACTTCAGATTAAATAAGTAAATAAATAAACCCTATAATCTGGGTACTGAAATAAATTCTGGGAGGCTTTAAGGAAGGATGAAAAAGATGTGAGTGAGGCTGGCTTCAGGGGACGACTGAGGCACAGCAAGAGCAGGTGCAGAGTGGGAGGACTGCTGCTGAATAGGCTGCTTGGGACAGTCATCCTCTAGATCAGGTTCTCCACAGTTCAGTAAACCAGGGAAAATGTCGGGAAAGAAACTAGCTGCCTCTGCAGGAACCTCCATGACATCTGGGAAGGGGTCAAAGTGCACAGGAAAACTAAAAGGATCCAGAACGTTTCATGATGAAGACACCATTTAACAATTCAGACTGAATGCTACAGCTGGCTTTCCAAGGCTTCTCTGAGAGATGTGTCCTTTGGAAGGAAGAGACTTAGAAAGGGATGGGATAAAAAGCACCTGGCTGCTTCACTGCACAGGTGCAATGCAAAGACAATCTCAAAGTACTGAGTCTATATTTTCTTTCCAAAACTCAAAGTAAGCAATTGCCTCTTCTGTTTTTTTTTTTTTTTTACCTGCTTTAAAGAGGTTAATGTATGTAACATTTAAAAATGAAATCTTTTGCTACTTCATGGAATTCCAAAGGTTTTCTTAGTTAATGGATATTTGAACCTGGTGCAAAGGCAGAGACAATGAGAGGAATAAACAGCATGTTCAAAATATCCCAGGCTACTACGTAAGGTAGTAGATACATGGCTGCATACTTCTCCTGAGAAAAAGGGTGATCTGCATGTATTGGGAGAAGATGGTCAGGGAATAGGAATGCTTTCTCTGGCTTATTCTGAGGTACAGGAAGGAGAACGGAGAAAGTACCATGTGAAACAGCTTCCTGTCTCAGACAGAAAGACGCACAGAAGACTTCTGGATCTGTACCAAAGGAGTGCAGGACATTTTAACAGTCTGGCAGGGAACCAAAGAGCTACACCCCACACAAAGCTTCCAGCACACTCCCTAGATCTCTTTTGTCCCTGGCTGGGAGGGGCTGGCAGGGTTTGGAAATTCTGAGAAAGGTGTGGCTGTCTGGCCCTATTGTTTAATACCCAGTTGGGAATGGACAGGTCTGTTGGATTCTGGATAAATTTTCATCTCAGCCTCAGTCAAAGGACCCCAGGGCAACACTAGAAACAAACAAAAAGGGAAAGGACAATGAGGAATAGTTTACCTTTGGAGAACAGTTGAAATGCATGCCGGGTACTGGGAGTGTAGTTACATACATTGTAATACACCGATACAGGTACAGCGTGCCAACTATGCAGAAAAATCTTCTGCTAATAATAGACCTAGAAAAAGGGAAAAACAGGGCAGATTCTCAGTCAAGAAATTCCTCAGGTTCATTTGCTTAAAGTTTTCAATAACCCAACAAAGCAAATCCCTAAATCTATTTAAGAATGAAATAAAAATGTTACAATGACAAATAACAAAGATGGGGATTTTTGAGAATAATGTCAGGTTATACTTCATTAAAAGTCACACTGATCTACACTGCTGTGAAGTAGGCTCTGTGGGACCTTACATATGAGTTGCCATTCAACTGATGGATGAGCGAAACCCATTCTAGGAGTAGTTAATGCCCAGTCAGTACCTGTGGATAAATATGTAGTGTCTTCTCTGTAAAAAGCAAAGATGCCAAGAACGACATCAGAAGGGGAAGTTAAAGTGTTCATGCTGTTTACGGAGTCAAAGACATTAAACAGCTGTACTGTATACATCAGACACTGATTCATCAAGGCAATAGGATGTCAAGAAAAGAACTATGGAACAGAGTGCCAGTCCACACCACTCCTCATCACCAGGCCATCTAAGAGCAGTTTGGGGGGTCTCTCTGTCTCACTTTCCTAAAAAGTAAAAGAGGGATAATGGCTTCAGGAATACTACAGAAAAAGCCCCATGTACAAAAGACACAGACAGACAGCTAAGCAGATGAATAAAAATACAAACAAGACTGAGAAATAGTTCCTAATTTCTAGTAAGAGTGTGATGTATACATGTGGACACATACACAGAGCCCTATAAATTCTTCTAATATCAAATTCTATCTCTGTTTCTCAGGCTTAGACTCATTAAAGCAGTCCTAAGTGTCTCCTAAAACAAGAACTTTCACTTCCTCGCCACCTCCATTTGCCACTGGGCACTACACACATAGTGATGGAATGACTGACACTGTCTGAGATTTGTTTCAAAATGTTAAAAAAAAGAAGAATCATATCTTGTGTCTGTCTTTTCCTTCAGTCTTAGGGCATTCATTTCCTAAACCTAAGAATTCAAAGAATTCTGCATATTTAGAATTCTTTGCTACCTAAAGATTTAAAAGTTCAAGATTTTTTTTTAAAAAACTAAAAATAGAAAGAACTATAGAAAGAATGTCTATGAGATATTACTAGAGATCAAGCAAATGCCAAGAGGAAAGATCCAGGATATAATTTCCCAAATCCCAAGGTGTTTGTCAAATGGGAAATACGTCTCCTTTCATGTTTGGAAGTCTGTGCTCCATCTGCTCACACTGCAGTGAGTAGCATTTTGCAGGCTTGTATTTGGTCATGGGTATCTATTTTTCCCCTAATTGCTTGAGCATGGAGCTCGTTAATATTTTTTCCCTGAGAAAAGTTACTTATTAAATGTGATTATTAGAAAAGATGAGCAAAAATGTTAATATTTTATATACAGTTAAGAACTGTTAAAAGAACATATTATATCTAGTACAAGTGACTTTATTAAACTTTGGGGTATTTGGGGGTATTCCTGGTTGAGCTCAGGGAATTGTGGATAACAGGAAAGTGCTCTATCACTGAGCTTTATGTCCCCAAACCCCTACTAAAGTTTTTAATATTCCTACTTTTAAAAAAGGAAATGGGACTCAAAATAGGACCATGTGTTTCCAGAACTAGGGTTAAAACAGTAACATTACAATGTTTCTGGCATTTAGTACAAAAGTCTAAAAGGCTAAAGGAGAAATGGCGAAAGAAATGGATTTTCTGTGAAGTTCAGTTAAGACACTGGAAAGTGCTTCTGCCCCCACAAGTTGTCCTTTGCACTAATTCATAGTAACAAGACATATACAAGTCTTGGCACATAGGAGAATTTGGGCTCCCTGAAGAAATAACAGAAAAACATTTTACAGTAGCATGTTATTTGGCTCTAAGTTTACCAAAAAATAAAGTGTGTGTGTGTGTGTGGGGGGGGTGTGTCTCGAAGCCCAGGCTGGTGTCAAGCTCTCCATGTAGCTAAGAGTGGCCTCTTGGAACTCCTTATCCTCTTTCCTCCATCTCCAAAGTGCTGAGATTGATTATAGGCATCTGTACTTGTCTCAAAATAAAATCACTTCATTTTCCCAAATTAAGAAATTATAGATGAATATTCTGACATCCATTCTTGGTATTATTTCTTAATCTTGCCATTTATTTCTAACCCATTTCTCTGATTTAGACTTCCTCTCCTACCTCTTTCTGGAAGCTCTTGGCCCTGACACAAAGCAATGAACTCAGCAACAACTCAAAACTAAGAGCCAACAAACAAGGAAGTGCATGTGCAACCAACAGACTCTAGAGAGCCGCCCTGAGGGATCGTCAGGGCCCTGTGCACTGGAGACCCCTCACTGACCACGCCACCATTCATGGGTTAGTTCTGCTTTAACAAAGACGTACTTGATGACCCTGATCATCTCAATTCATTCCTGGGAAATTTGCTTCCTCAACAGAAAAAGGAGGACAAGGATACCACTTTCTTAATGCATCAGAGAAATAGGGTAGCAAGAACTGGAAAGGCTACGGAATAAAGCTGAGAATGGGTATCACAATACTCATTATAAGTTAATCATTTTTCTACTGTAAGAAGGCTAAAGTAACTTATAAAAAGATGGAAAATTTGCCAAATTTCTTCTTCATGCCTTTAAGATCTGGATTATTTACTTCTTCAAATAATACAGTGATATGCCAGGTGTGGTGGCACACACCTTTGATCCCAACAACTTGGGAGACAGAGACAGGTAGATCTCTATGAGTTTGAGGCCAGTCTGGTCTACACAGCAAGAACCAGGGCTACCCTATCTCAAACAAACAAAATACATAATACCAACCAGCAACATATAGCTATGATCCTTATTTCACAGGAGAAATTGAGGCTCAGAGAGTCTAAACTGGAATATTATATAAGGCAAAAGAATTAAGACAAAAATTGCTTGACATTGTGTAAGAAATTCCATTTTTGAGTTCCTATAGAAAAGCTAAGAATCTACTACATTTCAGTTAGAATTTAAAAGCTACTTAATCCAAAAATTTCATTTCATGTTTTGCATCATATTTCCTATTGTTCAGAGCTCTACCAGATATTTTGATAATTTCATTATAACTGTATCAATTACTAAAGTTGAAAAATCCCAATCGCAGCATGCGGATTTCAAACATGCTCACTTCTTAGTCACAGAATGAGCCACAGGGCTCCAAGTGTTCAACCAGTCATTCATACGTCTTCTCTTTCCCACCCCTCCACCTTACCTAAACTTCCACAGTGACTTTCTTTGCATTTGTCTGTCCTAAATGCTGTTCTTTTTTTCCTGCTATGGTTGCAATACTCTCCGGCCTCCCAAGTTCATGCTGTAATCTAATCACCAGTGATGAGATCCCGAGGTCAAAGTCCTCAAGAATGGGATTTGTGCCCTCTGAAAAGACTGAAGGGAATTAGCTAGCATTCCTTCTCCAGGTGAGACCACAGCTCTAGCTGTGTCATCAGTGACTCAAGAAGGGAGTTCTCACCACATGCCACTCAGCCTTGGACTCCTCAGCCTCCAGAGCTCAGAAATAAATGGTAGCTGCTGATAAGCTACCCATTCTATGGTATTTAGTTATGACAACCCAAACCAGACCCTCCTTAAAATCCACTCTCTAGAGAGCATCCAGAATCACCTTTTTTGAAAATGTCAAATGACTGTCAATTATGTTTTGCATAAACTCTATATCCTTCACTAAGACCATGGAGGTCTTCTAAGCCTCAATCCACCCTCACTTCCCTTTGCCCTCCCCATCAACATCTAGACTTCTGCTTTGGCACCCAATGCTCTCTGACCACTCCCTGTAAAGTCCCTCCTGCCTTGGGTAGAACTTCTGTGTCAGCCACTCTCTGCCTGGACTGTCTACAGTCTGCCTCCTAGGACATGACTGACATTTAACCTGCTATAGACATACAGTCTGGAGAGTTCACTGCCTCTAAAAAACTCCTTACTCCTCTTTAGCCCATCCTTTTCTTTTACTTTCTTCATAGCCCCTCATAGCCTTCACAGCCCCAATAAAAGCAAAATAATTTGTGTTTCTAAAACTGATGAGTTCAGTTCCTAGCACCCACATGGCAGCTAATAACAACTGCGATCTGACATCCTCTTTTGGCCTCCATGGGCATTGTGCATATGGATCCATTTACATATATGCTGACCACACACTTGTATACATACAGAAAAAATAAATTAATCAATAAAAAAAGTATTTGCTGAGATGGCTCCATTCATCCAAACAGTTCTGGAACTCTCTGGAGACTGGGGACTGTGAGTGCAATCGTTCTGCCTGCCCTCTCCTGATCATCCATAGGCTGCCCTCAACATCCATCAGAGCCTCTGGGTCTACAGGGCACCAGAGGGCAGAGAAGGAAAACCCAGAGCACTGACTTCATGACGGCAGCAAAGGAAACAATGAAGAAAGAAGACTAGTCAAACAAATGAAAGGGCAAGACTAAATGTCAGCAAACAGAAAAGTCAAAAGAAATGCTCTCGTAAAGGAGATCTAGAACTCATGTAGTGTTGGGGTACCAACAAAGGGTTGATAGCAGTCTCAATTGGGACCACCCACACTCCTAGCTTAGAAACATGCACAATGCCTTTCCAACTTTTAAAAATCCAACTCAAAGAAATTCCACATCTCTGGTATTAATATCTGAACCATATTCCTGTTTAGCACGTGTTGATATCGCACCTCATGGAAGGAGACTGTAAAGCACTGAGAATTTACTGGTGGGCCACCCAGGGAATGAAAGAACCACCATGAAAGTCAGACCTCTAGGCTTTTGATTAACTGAAAAAAAGAAAAGATTAGCAGCTTAGTTCTTAGGGTTCAAAATGTAGTCCAAGGATCTGTGGAGTCCCTGAGACCCTTTCAGGTAGTTTTCCAGGTCAAAAGTCCTTTCATTATAATTATATAAGACAATATTTGTCTTTATCATTCTGTTGACTTTTGCACTTTTTTTTGTTTTTTTTTTTTTTTTTTTTTTGAGCTTTGTTAAAAAAAAAAAAAATCCAAAG